GTATGATGTGAGTAACTGTCCACTTCTGAAGCATGTTTAAATTTAAGCCATGCATTGTAGTCACATCTCAGCAACATCACATTCCATTTTCAGATCGTTGTAGACTCTTTGACTTACGAAGCAAAATGTAATAAGTGATCTATTTTTACCCAACACACTAAACATGTTTGGCCTGCTGAGGTCTATAAGCAGAGGAGGAGGACACAACCATAAGCAGAAATTACTTAACATGCCAACTGTGTGCCTAGTCTTGAAAAACATCTTCACTATTACATCAGTTTAATTACAAACCAACCACTCATCAGCTTTCATTAATTAGATAAGCATGCCAAATTATGTCTCTTACTTAATTTGTAAGAATGAATTTTACAACATACCAAAAATTTCCATGTATTTTTTCTTTGTAGATATTCAAATTTTTAGTTTTAGCCTTAAAATTCCAGAATTTTTATTAATTTCAAATTCAACACAGACTTTCTTGTATATATGTACATCTGTGTAGTATATATATATAATAGACATATTATACATGTGTCTTATGGACATTATACATAGATAAATGAGTAACTTTCAGCATTGGTAGAAATTCTTCTGTTGTCTTGTAATATAAATTGGATAGAAAATGTGGACAGTTCTCATAGATCATCTCTGCTTTGTATTTTTCCTGCAGAATAAAAGGTAAGATTATCAGAATAATTTTTAGCTCTAAAAATCAGCACAAAACATTTACATATAGAAATGTGAAAGTATTCATCTTCTTTTATGAATAAAAGCAGTCTCTTTCGCTTAGAAATTTAGCACCTAAAATTAACATTGGCTAGAAACAAACAGAACAAAGCTTTTGCAGTATCCTAGAGTTCTTACCACAGAGAGCTTTGTGCTCAACACCCATCTTTCTGCCTTTCATTCATTCAGTCCTAGTTCTTGGGTTCCTGTTAGTTGACTAAAATAAATCAGATTAACTAAATAATATTCACAAGATTAAGATATATGATGAAAGCACAGGTTTATGCCTGAGAATGCATGGGAACCAAGGTCTCTATGTTCTAGTAGGTGTGTTTTTAGACAAATTGCCTTAACTCTTAGGAAAGTACATGAACTGCTAACCCTCTGCTAAAAGCCAGAGGGTACTTGAGGAGAGGTGCTTCCCACAGAGTTCTCTAAGTATGAATCGTCCCCAATATCCTGCCGTTCTACCAATGAGGTCAGCCCTGCCTAGGGATAAAAGAACCCTATTTTTACTAATTGATCAAACTTGCATCACCAATTGCTCACTCCAGGTAATTCTAAACATCTTAGAGATGTGCACAGGGAAGGACCTCAGTTCCTATTCTGTTCAGTTCCATAAGCCCTTACTCAGCCCTGAAGAGCAATAAGTAAAACACTGTGTGAGGTACTGTAATGTGGAGTAGCAGGTATCAGCCTAACCGTTATGACAGAATGACCTGGGACAGTCAATTGCGGGAAACAGGTGGAGTAATTACTCACACTAATAGAGTTGCTCACCCCTAGAAATGGACTTTAGTTCTTCTTTATCTTGATGGACAAATCTAAGTAAGTCCCTGGCATGTTTTGCATGTGAAGAAGGGTGCCAAGCAACAAAAGTTCAATGCCACTGACTGGGAGGGAGGACGTAGCCCATAATACTTCCATATACACAGGCACAGCAGCTATTGCTCCTCAAAGTTTTCTCACTGGCCCTGGAGAATGCCCTTAGATTCAGTAGCACAGAAATTATGGAAGAGGCTTTAGAAGAGCTGTCACTGGGCAGAAGTCATCCCAGTGGCCCTACTCATATGACAATTGAAATCATTAAAAATAACATAACTGTTAGGTTAAAATACTTCTTGAACACAATGACTGTTTTATAATTTATTGTAATATTCAGCATAATCCCCAATGTCTAACATTTATTAAGAAAATAACTAAAAAATTATAGAGTCTAGGGAAGGAAGGAGTATGGGAGAAGTTCACACTAACTAGTTGTGAATTATAAACTGGTTAAGCATCAGGACCTGTAATGCAACTGAAATCTTCTAAGGTAGCTCAATGGGTAAAACAGTGAAAGGGTAACTGACTGAAGTTTGGAGGAAAAATAGGGCAGGAACTCAGAATTCTCTCTTCCCACTCAATTGTCCTATATAGTTGCCCCTTTGTGGCATGTCCTCAAGTCCTCAGCATTTATCATAGCATAGGTTAAATGCAAAAATACAACCACAACAATAAAATACACCTGACTTATCACATGACAAAATTAATTTAGCAATCTTAGCACATCACATAGGTCCTAGCATGTCATGAGTGCTCAAAGAATATTTGTGGAATAAATGAAATAGTGAATAACTTATTCTTTCCTAGGAGTCATTCAAAATTAACTTCAAAAATTAACAAAGCAACACTAGGAGTGTGGCTTCAAGTGATAGAGTGCTTGCCTAGCAAGCACAAGGCTCTGAGTTTAATCCTTAGTACCATAAATAACAGAAAAAAAATTTAAAGCATAAACAAAAAATCCTCAAAGTATATTTAGAGAGATTTTGCTTTACAAAATATGATAGTCAGATAGAAAATAGTTAAGTGACTCTCTTTTTTAGAAGCAACTATTCTGGTGTGCTTGGGTAGACCGAAAGTCAGGTTCACCTGCAAAGGTGTTCATGCCGATGGTGAGCTGTGAATTATTTACTGTTCTTTTAGAGAGTTTTCTTCCGTTGGCCCTCAGATACAGATATTTAAAAGAATGATTCTTTCTTTAAGGTCCTGACCCAGCTTTGTTTCAATTTCACATTGCCCCTATGCTATTCAAAAATCAATCCTCAAATTATAGGTTATAAGATGTTTTCCCCAACTGAAAAAACAGGGGTGTTCACATTTCACTGAGCTGCAGGTGTACTTATTTGAAGCTATCACCAATGGAGGTTATTCCCAAAGCCCTTCCATGGTGTTCCTTAAGTAGAAATACTTACTCTGGTTGTGGAGGCTGAGGGACGATGCAATGTTTTCTGGGTTTAGTTCTACTGAATTTAAAAGCAAATATATCTGAGGAAGCACAATTCCTCACTAAGACAGGCAAATGTCTTCTACAATGAGCTACATAACCAGACATCTTTTATCAGGAGAGCCTTTTTTGAGAATGTCACTGGTTTTAGAAATAATGCAAGTGATGCATCTAGTGGAGAAGTAGTTCTATGAGGACTTGCATGTGGAGATGTGTATCTTGCCCAAAGGAAAGTGTTTGAGAGCTTAAGAGCAGTTTAATATTACAAAATGATTTCACTTACAATATTTGCTGTCTGCGAAGAAATCACTTCATAAAACCTGTTCTATTACATACAATTTTGCTTAAGTTGTGCAACAGAAATGGAACTTGTTTTCTACAGAAAAAAGTCATTAAAGCTAGTCACCAGAATGCGACTAAGACTGTCAGTAGACAATCTTGCTTTCATGAGACATCTGATTGTCATCAGGGTAACCTTCCAGCTCATGTTTCATTCTCTTTCTTTTTTAGACAAAGGAAGAAGAACACAAGGAAAAACACCCCAAAAGCCATCTAGGACACAAACTGTGAGGTGAAAGGAGTTTTCTATTACAGATCCATATTGAAATTAAGAGTAGGTTCTGAAAGTCAATGCCTGCTTTTTGAAAAAGCAGGAGGAAGAAAAAAAAAAAAGAGGCGGGTTCCTGGTGCCCTGCCTAGTTCCCATCCTAGCCTCAGTACTGCTACAGAGTGGCCTGCAGTTTCAAGGGTGCCACAGATACCAGGCACCTCCTCTCACCTTAGTAGGTATTGGGTTGACTTGGAGCTGTTGGCATTACCACAGGCACAAAAAAGGAGGCAGCAAGGAAATGCTAACTGTGTGGGGACTTCCAAGCAGTTGAAAAGAATCAAAATGTATTTAAGTTTTTTTCTCTTCGTTCAACAGTACCTAGTGTTAGCAGAATTTTCTCTTTCCAAAGATTAGCTCCTCATTTAGTTTCACAAATTTTATGAACAAGAGATGAAGGAAGGTAGCTTAATATATATATATGAAAACAGACCTAGGTTAATTTTACAAAAATCTCACTGGTCTAGCATTTGAACATACACCACTTTTTCTTACTGAGGTATAATTAATACAAAGTGAAAAACTCAAATAATTGTAGCTAACTACTAAGACCAAATTTCCATCACCTTAGAAGCAAGAAACATTGAGTTCATTTGCCAAAGATAGAGCATCCACAATAAAAAGAAAAATATTTCAATCACTATTTAAGTCTAAAGACAATTATTTTTGTGAATAGCTTTCATTGCATAATGCATTGACAGAATTTATGCAGTAAACTTTTGCACTCGGGTTAGTAGTATGGATAGAGACAATGGTCAAAATTGAAACTCTTTGTTTTGATTCTCCCTTAAACAGTTTATGGCATACTTGGAAAGGCTGAAGCCAAATGTTGACAGGCTGACTACAGAATAGAAGATTACTGGAGATATTGTGATACTGCATTTTCAGATCAAGGCTTTATTCTTTCGGTTTGTAAAAGAATTTTGAGAGAATCAATTTGGTGGCGATGAATGATTCTTAAATTGTACCTTCATATTAATTGAGTATACTGAATTTTAAACAACAAAGAAAAACAAACAATACTAATCTGCTCAAGGAAGTGCAGATAAGGCTGAAATTGGGTGTAGGTTTTGACTATATGCTAGTAGGAAGCTGAATTCTCTTCCATTGCTTAACTACTCTGTGTCCACTGGAACAATAGATTTTGGAGAATTTCAGAGGTTTTACAGATGAGTCACAGTCTGAGTATCAATTATCTTCAAGTTTTTATAGGTATATTTCTTGGGTTTACTTAGAAGTTGTTTAAATTACCAAGCACTCATCTTCAAGTGAAGAGCAAAAATGAATCTTTGAATTCCTAGAATTTTAATTTTTAAAATGACATGTATCAATTTTACAATATCTTCATACTTTTGGGACATGGTTAAACTGCAGACATAAATCTGCAGAGCTTACATGTTCTCTTCGATGAGAGTGCTGACATCGAAGTGAAAGCTGTGGTCTGGCTGGAGAAGCAATTAAGTGCAAGAGCATCTGAGGGACAGGCACAAGGTTATGGGTTCATTCGTGGTGTTTTTTCCTTCAAAAACAAGAAAAGGTAAAGGTTAACATGATTGATAGAAACCTTGAAAAAAAGACACAAATGACAATTTATTTTATATAACAAAAGGACTAATCTTCTATCTGTTTAATCACTACCTGGAGTGAACCTCAGAGCTACCCAGCAATGATACTGTATTTCCTTAATTATTCTTTTTTGTTGTTTTCTTCCCTTTCTCTATCTCTCCCATGCACGGCCTCCCCTTAGTGTGTGACCCATGTCCAATATTCCTTAATTATTCATTCTGGTAGGATCTGTTTTCTCTCTCCTCAAACTTTTAACAGCCCTTTCCAACCTTCTCTCTGAATTGATGTCTTTACTTTCTACTTCATTTAGAAGAGTTCCCCATTGTTCCACCTTTCCCCATCTCTCCTTATCCCCTATTCTCTCCAGTTTTTTGGGAACTACCATTCATTTCCAATGTTTATGAGATCAATTTTTTTTTTTAGATTTACAATATGAGTGAAATAATGTTGTACTTGTCTTTCTGTGCTTATCTTATCTCACTTAACATAAGATCGCTAGTTCCATTCATGTTTTTGCAAATGGCAAGATTCCATTCTTTCTTATGGTTGAATTGCATTCCATTGAGCATACTTACCACATTTAGGTGGATGGACACAGGTTCATTCCGAATCTTGGTTATTGTGACTCACTATTCATGGTATTTCCTGTGCAGGTAACATGGGAGCACAGATATCTCTTCAACATACTGATTTAATTTCCTTTAGTTAATAAATGAAACAATAATTTTTTTAAAAGGCAACTTAACCCACAACAGTAACACAACTAACTCTCTTTGTGCCCACATTTCTTGGTTTTTTTCCAGTTATCTAGAAATGTCTATATTTCTAAACTTGATCACCCTCTTCCGTGGCTGCTCAAGGACTTTTTAAAGCATTTCTCTACTCTCTCTCTTCTATTATCAATCCTCCTTTCATATTAGATCTTTGGATTTTTTCATATCCACACTGTAATTTTTCATTGTCAATAAAATTATTTTGCCTACCACATTTTCTGCCAGTTATAATCAAATTTCTTTGCTTTCTTTGTAGCAAATTCCTGAGAGTTATATTCACCATATTTAATTTCTTTCCTCTTACTTCTCATTTTGTCTTAAATCTACTCCTAAACTTGCCCTTTTTTAGGATTGCTAATAATCAAGTACTCAAATCCATGTGCAACTCCCTGGACCTCATGAACTGCAATATACAACACAGGTAATTACTCAGTCCTCCTTAAAATATCTTATACCCTTGGTTTCTTCCTACTTCATGACCATAATTTTCATACTTCTTTATGGATTCCTTTTCTGCTCTCCAGCCTCTTAGCCTGGCAATGACTCTTTTCAATACTATCCATATACAGTCAACTCCCAAATATTCCTCCATACCAAATCTCTTTCCAGGCTTCTATATCCAACTGCCTACTCAACATTTTCATTTGGATATCTAAAAGACATCTTATATCTACTATGACTAACATTTATCTTTCCTCCGCATCTCAAACCCTTACCTCTACCAATGACACTACATCTTTTCAATAGCTCAATCCAAAAACCTGGGATCATTCTTTGTGGAATTTTCTTCTCTTTCTTACCTCCCCCCCCTTTTATTCAATTTTAAATGGGTTTCATTGTGATATTTCATACATGCATATAATGTACTTAGATCATATTTACCCTCCATCACCATGGTATCATTTTTGATGCCTTTTTTCCTGTTATACTCCACACTCAACCTATTGTTATCTTTACCAGACAGCAGAAGACCTGAGGCCTAGAGAAGCTAAGTGACTTGCTCTTATTTTCTCCATTACATAGTAAGTGACTGCCAAGACTCTAATCAAGTACTGAAGCCTGTGCCAAATACTGAACAAGTCACCCTTCAGTCTGGCTTGAATACTAACCCAAAAATAAGTCACCCAGCCTACCACAGACATTGGAAGTATCTGTGATGCATTTAGGTATGGCTAAGATTCTGATTCTCTGAGGGATTGAGTTGTAACTCTAAATGCATATATTGTCTGTCATATATACATTTTCACAGATTCATCAGATATCTGATAAATAATTTTGTGAACACACTGATATGAGGACAATTTGTCTAAGATTTAGTAGAGCTTTTCTTCTCTGTCTTTGATAAAATGACTAGGCACAAACTTCTGTATCACATTGCATACAGTGATATGAACCTTCTGTATCATCTACGTGAAAATGCAGATTTTTCAATGCACTCACCAGAAGTGAGTGTCAAAGACATTCTATGATCTGCCTTACTCTGACCTTTTTGTTTCATGTGACTTTCCAAATTTGGCAACTATCAGCAGACTTATGAAGTTACAGGAAGACTTGGATGACCCCATTCCACTCTTCTTTCCCTCTGTGATCCCCAAATGCAAAACTTGTCAGACTGTCTCACAGATGCTATCTGTCTAAATTGTTTTGATTCTTTATTCCAATGTTTTTGTTTTGCATTTTCCACATGATGTCAGGGTCTAACATTTTTGGGAAGAAAGAGTTTGAAAAAACCACTAAGTTTACTGAGAATAAACACTGTTTACAAGCATTACAAAAGATCAGTTCCTCTAAAGAAGAATATGCCCAGAATACTTATTTAGTGGATTCTCTAAAGTTTTTGCAACATTTCATTTTTAAAGCCCAATATTTAGGCTTTTAGAAGTTTGCCTACATATTTTGTGAATGGCAATGAGATACTGAGAGAATAAGTTTTGAGAACAGACATTTTTTGTGACTAAGAATTCTTATACAATGTATTGCAAAGACTGACAAAATTTTTGTTAAAACATTTTAATAATTCTAAAATTATCTTTAATTCTCTACCTACAATATATTCAAGCTAATGGCCATAGATGTTCTTTGTCAGTTATTGAGGATATATAAAATGCAGGATAAACTTTTGTTGCAAACTTAGATTAAGAAGGTAAAGTGTCCCAAATATGCTATGGTGTGTTCATCAAACAGTAAGCGAATAGGCAGTCAGAACTCCTAACCACCGATGACTGTCAAACTGATGCAACTGAACAGCTGTCTTTATCATTCCACAGGACCACATGCAAAACTGCAGAGTGCTGTGTTCTAGCTCAAGCCTCAGCTTCTCTTTGTCTTTACTTCCATCCTCATCAAGGTCTTTACTGGATACACCTCTGCCATTTACACACCTGTATTCCCAGCACTTGGGAAGCTGAGGCAGGAAAATTGTGAGTTCCAGGGCAACCTGGGCTACACAGTGGGACCCTTTCTCAAAAAAAAAAAAAATCAATAAGTAAAATGAAGAAAGGAAGGAAAGGAGGGGAGCTTGGAGGGAAGAAGGGAGGAAAGAAGAGTATGAAAACCCAGTGAGACCATACTTCCATGGTAGCAGTTTGAACCTCCAGTTCCCAAAAGGAAAAGGTCATAATTTCCTTAAAAACACAAGATACATCTAAAACAATTCCTTCTTATAAATAAAATTCTTATTTATGTTCTCAGAAAATGGATAGAATTTCCTAAATTAAAAATCAAATGGAAGGATAATTGTTCTCTACAAATAATACTGTTACATCTATTTTCATGATCACTTGTTAATTTACAGACTTGCATAAAAATCAAATCACAAATCTACTCCTTATGTGGAAAGATGCTAAGAGAAAAGGCTAGTGATTGTCCTCACTGAATAAAAGGATTGACAGGATGACCTCAAATACATTACTAATTTTAAAATCTATTCATTAGGCATGTAGTTTATTAACATCTATAAGCACACACTAGTTTCTTGAAGGATCACCCAAACTAGGAGGCCATCCTTATTTGGGGACAAGAATGCTTCCTACATTTCACGTTGGTTGCAATATCCCTTTTGGTACCGTGCATCACCACCAGACTAAGTACTCATTACAGGAAATATCATAAAGCTTCCTACTTTTGGGTGACCTAAGTGCTCAATTAATTGATATGCAGCAGCTGTTTGCAGTAGGAATTATTTTGGAAATAGTTGGCCTGTTGACCCAGATCTCAATGTTTAGATTCAGTAGCACCAATGTAACATGCAAAGTACTTTCAGCTATGCTACACACTCCCTCCCTCACCCACTTTCCTCTTGAGGTTCTTGAGCAGGCATCTATGTCAAATCCTGACACCACTTCACACAAACTGTGCATTCACCTTTTAGGCTCCTTTACAGGAATGTGGAAGTAACACATATGAAGTCACAAAGCTAATTACATACCTTGGAGGAGGAGGCAGGTATGTGCTCATGCTCATGGAGAGAATTTACAGCTACAGATACATACCACCAGAGCTATATGTAACCATCAAACAAAAGTACTTAGAAGGCTGCATCCACCACAGGTAAGCTTTACAATTATTATTTAATATGTGAAAAAAACCATACCAATGAAGTCTGGCAGACACATTCTTAACCAAGGTTAAGTTAATCAAGGTTAAGACCACCAGAAATGTCACATTAGTATCATGTGACCCTTGAAAAAAATGCCTCACCTTGTGTCCATACCACAGTGTTATCATAAGAAAATTTCAGATAAACTCAAAATGAGGGACATTCTACAAAATGCCTAACCAGAGTTCTTTAGAAGTCCCAAGGTCATGAATAAGGAAAGACTAAGTAACTGTCACAGATTGGAAGAGACTGAGAAGAAATAACAATTCAATGCAATATGGTGTTCTGAGTGGGATATTGATGGGTAAAAGAATATTAGTGGAAAAAATAGTGAAATGAAAATATAGTCTGCAGTTTGTTTAATAACACTACACCAATATTAATTATTTCCTAGCTTTAACAAATATACTTTGGTTATGTAAGATGTTAATATTAGTGAAGGCTGGATGATAGGTATACAAGAATTCTGTCCTACCTTTGCAAACTTACAGTAAATCAAAAATTATCCCAAAATTAAAAGGTTCTTCAAAATATAATGTCAAAATACTATATTAATTACTAAATACTGGCAACTGATAAGAAACAAGATTATGCTAAGCTCCTGAGAGTCACAAAAGACAATGTCAGCAACTTGGTAGAAAAGATCTTCATCCTTTCCTCCTTCTCTATAGACAGCTGAATGCAATGTAATGATCTCACCAGTATCCCAGCAATGTAACTTGAGGTTTTATAAATGAGCTAAAATGGAGCATAAAATTCCAGATAAAATAAATTTTGCAGTTCAAAATTTTCTGAGAACAGCAATTGACTGCATGGTTTCTTCATCTTTCACTTTGGTATGCTTTCTATGACAGTATGACACCATTTTTGTTGAAAGGGGTATGTTTGAGTCTAAGGATAGTGGTCTGGACAGACACACAACAGTGGTATGGCAGAGACTGTGCTGACCTCTGAAAAACCTCATTCTCCTCTCGTGTAAACTGGGAAAGGGACTAATGTCCAAAGCATGTTTTCGCTATGTGGTGCGTTGTGATGAATTTGAGCCCATGTAATATGAAGGAGTACAACACAGCATGTAACTTCCAGACAGAATTTAAGTAATCACTGTTTTTTTCCATATTCTCTTTGCTTCCCATGATGACCAGGGAGGCTACAAGTAGAAAATAATAACATCTCAAAGTTAGCCTAGGTGCCTAAGGCTTAGACAGGAGCTTCCCAGAAAATGCCTGGCAAAGAGTACCTATAGAGTCCATGTAAGCAAGAAATAAATATTT